CATATAAAAAAATTAAAACTATATAAAAAAGTGGAACTTCATCATAATTTACCCTTCGTTTGTTTGTTTTTATGGCAAAACTACTAAGGTTATCTGTCGCATTCCCTAATTTGAACTGCAGTGAAAGCAACCGACCTGCAGCACCCACAACCAACTCGGGCTACTCTTTTTACCAACGAATAGTGTAATTAACTGCCACGTTTGTGAAATTGAATAAATATTATTTTCTAACTATATTATTTTTTTTTTTTGCTCGTTGCCTTTCTTCTATTGGACAAATTTTTAATCTAATTTATACAGTATTTGAACGTGGATATTACAGACAACTTGTATAGTTTTTTGAGATACGTAAAGATATATTGAAATTAAAGTTTAACATTTAGTACCTCTTAATTAGCTCTTTAATTTAAAAAAAAATATGCCAAACACGCCTCGCTTCACCCTCTCAACTTTTTGTGTAATTAAAAACAAAATATTTTTTTATAATATTAGCTGAACTATAAACATTTTTAAGTGAAGGAAATTATTAAATAGCTTGCTGTAAAAGGACAATTAGTAAGTATGATCATTATTTATTTTTTAATATATATATAACACTAGTTCTTAAATAACTTATAGATGGCGCAGTTACTGCAGACACTATAAACATATGCGTCACAAATAATAGCTTAATATTAGTGATATGTAGAAAGTTAGATATTGATATTTTTCATGATTTTTAGCCTGTCCCTCCATTTTAGGAAAATGCTATACTTCATAAATATTATCAAGTTTTATGTTAAATTGTTTATTTGTTGTTAAACCACAGAGCTACACAAGGCTACTTGCTGCCGTCCATAATTTTGAACTGCTGAACACGGGGAAGGAAACCGGCCGGCAACATCCACTACCAATTCTTGAACTACTCTTTATCAACAAACAGTGGGTTGACCGTTACGTTATAACACCCATAAAGCTGAAAGGGTGAGCATGTTCGGAGTCAGCTTTCGATCTCATGACAACCAGACCATGTCCATCATTTTCCATAATGTCAAACCCACAAATATGGTGTTCGACCTAAAAAAACATTTTTGCATAATACATCAAAATGTCGAAATAATACAAGCTCAAGGGGTTGAAGTTCGGAGAAAAAAAGGTCAAGAAACGTTTATGAGCATAATCTACTTTACACAACTATATATACTCCAACTGTTTATCGAAATTATATATATATATATATATTTGCAATTTTTTCAGTGAATATTTGAACAATATAATGAACTGTTTTGTTGTTACATTATAATCGTTTAAGAGCTAATAGTCACTGTCAAAAAAAAAGAATTTCCCTGAGAAAGAGATCAAAATGATAACCGGATTTGTCATTTGAATCACGTAGCTAATTTTATTAAATAATAACGACTATGAGAGTTAAATTGGGCCAATTTTTTATATATATCGTACAAAATCTTTAGTAATTAAGTAATGGGAGATTATTTTGAAAATTGAAATATTTAAAAGAAAGCAATAGCTGGATAATTTGTTCTTCGATAATTGTTTCACTTCTTAAGGCCACTTTTATTGAAATAAAGACCAAATCATACAAACATACTTTAATGATTTGTCATGTATGCATGTATATATCCACATGTGTAAATGTGTATTGTTCTAGCAAAGCCACATCGGACTACCTGCTGTGTCCACCGAGGAGAATTGAACCCTTGATTTTAGCGTTGCAAGTCCGCAGATTTAGCGCTGTCCCAACGGGGGACATATAACCATATAAGGCATGAAACGGAAGCTAGTTTTAAAGCAAGTTTTCCTGAAAAACTGCCCTAAAAATGTAAAACTATTTGTTGAGATAAACAAGCAGAATACTTTAATACGGTAAAAGAAAATTTGAAACTGGATGTTGTCCCAGAAGACTGGACCCATAGGGAAATAGACCCTGATGGCACAGTATACCAAGGATTGATATATTTATGGCTGTTAATGGCACGCAATTTGAATAATAAATAAATCAAAAATAAACTGTGTAATTTTCTCTATGGATCCAGACTTCTGAGACACCCTGTATATTACTTGATAAACAACAAATATTAACAATAACTAATTAGCATATGTACTCGTGCATCCAGATCAATTATCATTATTAACATGCTTTTATAAAATTTTAGTTCTGATGCTATTTCATGCGAATCTATAGCTTTGAATAACGTCCCAGGATAATAAAAATGAGAGAATTACTATTAAAAATAATACATTGTAGATATATTCCAGAATAATTAAGGATCACATCTTTGGGGCCGTTTTATCCACAGGAAATATTTTTGAAAATGTGTGTACTACCTGGAAAATTTTATTTAGCAGATTTTTTCGGAATTTTCACAGAAAGCTATCTACGCATCGCCGCCCCTAATCTTGAACTGGTAGATTAGAGAGAAGACAGCTATTCAACAGCACCCACCGGCAACGCTTGTCTGACAGAATTGTGAAATTTGGCAATCACTCTTACAGTGCACCCGCAGCAGCACCAAACTGCGAAGCACGTTTTGCGGTAATGGGACGCAAATTATAGTCCTTGGATTTACAGCCTGGTTAGGCAAACCATGAGGCCACACTCATCCTTTTATTAGCAAATAAAATTATAGATGAAGTTATATTTATATATAATTACATACTAAGATTGCAATCTGAACAAAAGTAACAACCACTGACCGATTCTGGTTGTATATATATATATATATATATATTATTACTCTCTTTAAAGGTCTACCTATCTTTTCCTAGAATTAAAATTGGAAATCACCCATACATGGGCGCCCGCAGAAATTCTTCAAGGGAGGGGCAAAGTAGTGTGAAATTGTGAATTGAATAAAAAACTCATATACATATGCTGAATGAATAAAGTAAGTTTGTTTGGAATTAAGCACAAAGCTACACAATGCGCTATCTGTGCTCTGCCCACCACGGGTATCGAAACCCGGTTTCTAGCGTTGTAAGTCCGCAGACATACCGCTGTACCACTAGGGGGGGGCGAATAAAGAATTGTTTCTCATTTTCGGGAGGGGCACTTGCCCCTCTTGTCCCCCCCTGCACACGTATATATATATATAATGTACTAGCATCATTATACAAAGTTTAATGAGATTCTAGCTTTACGCACACACAAACTCAGACCTACCTGAACCAAATATATAAGTTTGAAATATCTCGGCGTTCTACTTTATTTTCAACTCCAAATTTCGTCATATACCCCTAACGGCCATTAATACGATTGAAATATTTGGAGTAAGTATATTAAAACTTTGCCCTTACCTTTGTCAAGTCCTGGATTTTTCTTAATGGTGATTCAAAACTCTTCAAAGAAATTTACAAAAAACAAAATCACCCGTTACTGGCTGCAGTAACGTCACGCAAAAAGTTGTGAATAGCAATTATTACGGGTTCCTCAGCCTTAATGACTGCAGATAATTTCATGATAGTGAAAAACACGTACGATAAGAAAAATAAATCTGTTATATCAATTTCAACAAAAACCGAGCGCTTTCGACAACAGTACCTTCTTCTTTACACCCGAGTAAAAAAAAAAAAAATAGCACTACTTGTGCTAGGGTTTCATTTTGGTTCTTTGTTGATGATATTGTTACGTCTCCGTTCGTTAGTTGATTTTCTGTAACTTCGTTCCCACGAAACTTTAGCGACACAAGTCCTTTCTTAATAAAACTGGTTTATTCTTTCTGAATATAACTTTACCGATACACTTATTTTCAACAGTCGCTCTATAACAAACGCTATAACAACGAACGTTAACTTCAACAATACTTTCTGACTGCAGTTCAATTACTCACTACCTACACACATTGTCCCGTCACGTTGTGAGCGTCTTATATATATATACCGATATATATACTTTACCGATACACTTATTTTCAACAGTCGCTCTATAACAAACGCTATAACAACGAACGTTAACTTCAACAATACTTTCTGACTGCAGTTCAATTACTCACTACCTACACACATTGTCCCGTCACGTTGTGAGCGTCTTATATATATATACCAGACTAACATATATCTAGTAAATGCTAGGGCATTCACGAAGGAACAGGATATTTCTAGAAAATAGGTGGCGTGACACTAGTCACGTGACCTCGCTGACGCAACAATATAATCATCGAAAAGCAGTAATACTGCAAATTGGGAAAAACGTTCACCACTAAATCATGGAATGTGAAACAAGTTTTATTACGTAAAATCCATAAAAAATTTACTGTATAAGTTTTGTTAAGTCAATTTACAAAAAATATATATACTTTCCTTTCCCACAAAAAGAAGTGTGTAATGCTCGTTTATAATCTCGTGATATTCGTACATTGGTCTTTGAGCCATACCAATATGACGATTGATGCAAATTTTAGACAGTGTGCGTGTGATTTTTTGCAATCTTTTGAAATTAACACACCGTCCGTTTTCAAGATGGCATTTCTGAATAAATGTTTACAGTTAAAATGTTTAACCCCAGGGTCGTAAATCAATTCTTCAAGTTCTGTGGGACAGATCCAGTCTCAACTGAAAGGTCAGTTGGTAATGTTAAGGTGATTGACTGGTGTGCTGCTTGCCCAGACGTATACAGTAGTTAAACATGGCGGACCTATAAAACAAATGTGACATTAAATATGATCACAAAATGATCCGGGTCTTGCACAATTATATACGAATTAAAATTACCATTAAGTACCAAAAAAAAAAACATATTCGAATTTATTTAGAAAATCTTGGTAAATTTATGCAATGGATAATGATAATTATTAATACGAATGAAATACTCGTCACACAAATTCCTGCTGGATATCACCCTTAGGCATGACAGATGCTAAAGAAGTTCGAATGCCTGCACTATCGATATGCCAGTAAAGAGGGCGACACATGCTACCAAACCTTATGGCTCACAGTTTTTAATCTAGTTTTTTATGTCTGTGTGTGTCTGTGGTTTTAAATTAATAAAACACCAATACACGTCATGCACAAAGGTGATTTTATTTTCCAAAAGTAATTGTGTTGTTAAAATCACAAGTTGAAAGTAATTACATGAAGGCATATAAATATTTGAATTACATTATACATCAATGTAATAATACATATCAAAAATACATCATTAAACAAGTAAGAATGAACTGCTAGGTCATAAGTTTCATGAAACCTGTGAATGTAAAAATGCCTATAAAAGATACTTAAATTTTGGAAAAACAATTAACATCTCTTAACAATCTTTAAAATTTAATATCTTCATATACTGATAAGCTACTTCATATATAAATTGTAATAACTCAAACATCCTTAGCACAAAGTTTGCACTTTACTCTAAAAGTTGGAAAACAAAACTTAAAGAAAAGGGTTTCAAATAATTAAAGTACTTCTTTTCTTAATTAAAACATGTAGTAATTAAACCCCTAGGAGACTTTTGAAATAAGCATGTATTTCATAATAAACCCATTCAATAATTAGTTTTTCATACAGCAGAATATATTGTAACCATTTTGTTATTCCTATATACGTTTTCAACAACAGTTATTTTTCTGACCAACAGAATAAACGTTTATATACAATTAGACGTTTATTACAAATTAAAGCAGGAACAAAAAAAAGGGTTAAGAATGATATCCAAAACCATTTCTTAATTAAAATTGAATTGTATATCACCGTACTGATTTGAGAAACCAAATTCAAGGCAAAACATGCTTTAACTTTTAACCAATGCTCACAAGTAAAATTTTAAAATAAGGCAAATTGGCAAAAAAAAAAAAAGAGACTTATCTTACAAACTAGATTATTTGAAAATTTAAAACTATCACTGTGGTAAAAATGATTTTAACATTAATAATTTTTATGTTTTCGTGAATCAAGAAAAGTTTTCACCTTACAAGAAACAGATGATCTGCAGGAAAGTTGTTCAGTTCAAATGTTATACAACTTTCTTGTTTTAATACCTGTACTGACCTAAGTCCTCTGTAATATGTGCATTATCTGTGTAGATGTCTATATTCATCATTATATATTATCTAAACTGCAGTTTAGATAATATTAACTTGATTAACTTACCTGTATGTAACCAAAATGAACACACCAAGTGTTATACAACTTTCTTGTTTTAATACCTGTACTGACCTAAGTCCTCTGTAATATGTGCATTATCTGTGTAGATGTCTATATTCATCATTATATATTATCTAAACTGCAGTTTTATTCACAACTGATATATATTAATAATCATTAAATTCTAGAATGGGATATTTTTATGCAACATAATCTCTATTCATTTTAACAATGTATTACCACTTATCATAATTATTGTAGTAAGCATTTTTCTTTATCTAAAGCAGATATTTCATTATGAATTATATTACTTCACATTCTGAGCTTGCTTAGTGAGTATTTGTGGAGGCAAGGTTCCCATGTGCTTGCAAATAATAGAAAGCATTATTTCATCTGTGCCTCCACCAATAGAAAGTAAACGCATGTCTCGAAACATACGGCTAATTAAGACATCACTGGTATATCCAAGTCCTCCCCAGTACTGCATACAAGTATCTGTGACTTCTCTGGCAAGTCGTCCAGCTTTCAGTTTTGCCATGGAAGCTAAAAGGGTGACATTTTCACCACTCAAGAGCTTACCTGTAACAACAAAAATAAACATTAGTTTTTTTTCACTAATAAAAAGAGAAACAGTAATGTGATAAGACATATATAAAATAAAAGTGTTTGTCATGTTTATTTATGCTCTTTACTGGGTCAGGTTTACTCTATTCTCTATTAGATTTGACAAAAAAAATTTTCAATTACATCTTCATATTGAAATATCAAGATAATAAACATTTTGTCAAATACAAGTGCTTGTAAGATCTTGAATACAATCTACGTGTACTTTAAAAGTATCTACCTCATTATTGTTTATATGTTATGTTATGGATTTCACGCAAAGCTAAACGAGGGCTATCTGTGCTAGCCGTCCCTAATTTAGCCGGTAAGACTAGAGGGAAGGCAGCTAGTCATCACCACCCACCACCAACTCTTGGGCTACTCTTTCACCAACGAATAGTGGGATTGACCGTCAAACCACAGCTGAAAGAGCGAGCATAATTGGTGTGACGGGGATTTGAACCCGCTACCCACAGATTGCGAGTCAAGCACCCTAACCACCTGGCCATGCTGGGCCGTATTGTTTATAACTTAGATGGAATGATTACATTGGTTAAATTAAATCCTTCACCAGTGAAATCTCATATCTCAAATGCTGAATTTTAAATGTGACTCAATACAGAACACTAGATCTTACATGTGACAATATATGGTAGTACACCAGAACTTACCTGTATGTAACCAAAAGGAACACACCAAGTGTTATGTGTGACCTCTCTAATCAAGTCTGAATATTAATAGGTTAAAAGGATGCCAAATAAACTTCAGCTCTTTTCACAATTACTGTTGATATCCTCAATCTATTTAAGCCACTGGAATGTGGACTATCTATTCAAAAACAAATATACAGTTAATATACATACCTATTGCTCTGTATACCAGAGATCTAAGGGCTTCAACTTCTGTCTGAAGCTCTGCAAGTCTGAAGTGGATGACTTGGTTGTAAATAATTGGATATCCAAAAGCTTTCCTCTGCTTACAGTATTCTAGTGTGTCAGTAATAGCCTGCTCCAGACAGGGTAGAACTGTTTACCAAAATAGTCCATGGAGTTAGAATGATAAGTGTCTTTTATATATATATATATATATATATATATATATATATATATATATGTGTGTGTGTGTAGTATGTGTAGTAG